GCAAATGTTTTTCGGAAGTAATAATGCGTTGCAGCTTGTGTCTGGGACGGACTATTATATGACGAAGAAGAAGCTATTTGACCATGTCGTGGGGTTCACCAAGTTTTCAGAGTTTTTGATCGTGGCTGAGGTGGGTTTTTTTCGGTTGTCTTATGCGTGCGCTGTTGATTGACTGGTTGTGAACTCGCAGTACCACCCGATGAGAGGCACGCTTAACATCCAGGTCTCACTTGATGGACGGACGTTTGCTTCTGGGAGCTTCCCTCCTGGCATGCATCCAGATTCTCACGTAGGCAGCATCGCCCTAACTCTACAAATACTAGAATTGCTCATGATGTTTTCTAGGCATACACTATCCTCGAGTCAAGCACTAAATCCATCTTCCTACACATGACCATGAACGAAGAGCCAACGCCATGGGGCAACATCCTCAAATCCAACTCTAACGGAACTTACTTTGGGCTGTCCCTCGAGAACGTGAACAGGAATATCGGCGGCTTCGTCGACTTTGAGAAATTTGTGGGGTTGGATGGTATTGCGATGGCTAACATAGTGGCCAATCCTGCAGAGGCTGCACTCACGGGATATAAGGCTCTGCAGACGAGGATCACGCACAATGACGGTATGCTTTGTTTCATGAGTATCTTTTGCCTCTCGTTGACGGTTGCTTGTCGCGTCAGGTGGCACTTGGAAGCCGCTTGTACCCCCTTCGGTGGATTCGCTGGGTATGAAGTACCCTTGTACATCAGTGGTATTTCGTGCTTTTTTGCGCATCGCTGTTCAATTGACTTATTTTGTCGTGTTTAGGGCTGTGCACTCCACGTTCATGGGTATACAGAGCGCTTCGACGCCCGGGCAACATATAGCAGTCCATCCGTCGTCGGCGTGGTGATAGCAGTCGGGAATGTGGGTGATTCACTCGCCACCTACACCGAGAGCGATACCTTCCTATCCCGGGATGGCGGGTTCACATGGGAAGAAGTGCACAAGGACGCCCATCTGTGGGAATTCGGCGACTCGGGATCTATTATCGTGATCGTGAACGATGAGGAGCCGACAGATCACGTGCTGTTTACCACTGATGAGGGTCTTACTTGGCGAGAATACAAGTTTACGACTGAGAAGATCAGAGTGAGGGATATTATGACGGTACAGGAGGATACAAGCCGAAAGTTTATGCTCCTGGGGCGTTATTCCGCAACGGCTGGCTTGGTGGTCGTGCACTTAGACTTCTCCTCTCTCACGCATAAACAATGTGAGTATGGTGCTCTTGTGCTTGGTGATTGATATTGAACTCGTTCTTCCAGGCCTCGTGGATGTGGAAAATCCTGGACATGATGACTTTGAGCTGTGGAGCCCCAGCGAGGAAAGAGCCTCACTCTGCTTGTTCGGTCGACAGGTGAGTCGCCCGAACTTAAAAATTTTCCTTTGTCACCTATATCATGTACAGACACTCTACCATCGCCGCAAACGGGATGTGAACTGTGTTGTTGGAGATACGCCCAAGGCACTAGACAACATTGTGCGGAATTGCACGTGTACGCCGGAAGACTTTGAATGGTGGGTCACGGGTGTGATACTACCCGCTCAGAGCTAATTTAAATCTGGGCACGAAAAACAGCGAATTCAACCATGTTCGCAACGAGGAAGGTGAATGCGTTCTTGTGCCGGGGACGAATTCACTACCGTCAGATGATTCATGTCGCAATGGAGAAGACTATTGGTATGAACGCACGGCGTACCGCAAGGTGGACTACTCCACTTGTGAGGGCGGTGACCGCATAGACCGAGGCACGCAACACCTGTGTCCTGGCATTAACGGCCACAGCGCGATGTTCTGGATGATGGTGATATTGTTCCCCTTTGTGATCACAGCGCTCGTCGCATGGTGGTGGTACAACAAGAGCGGAATGGCGAGAGGGCAAGTGACATCTACTTTATGTGTGCGCGTTGTATGCTTATCATTGACACACAGGACAATCCGTTTACCTGGAGGCGAATATTCGCATAGGTCAGGGTCTGGTGTGATGGATACGCTGGCATCTGTACCATGGTTCCTTCTCGGGCTTTCGGGCATCGCATTCGAATATATAGCGTCAAGCCTGGAATCTGTATCGATGAACTACCGCGCGAGGCGTGGATATAGGGATGTACCTGTAGACGAGGATGCACAGGTCCTGCATTTCGAGGACGAGGAATGAGCAGGGCAAAAGTCATACTTAGACGAGACTGCCTCGACTATATATTAATAGTTCATACTGTCCTTGTAGTTAGTCATAACCAATTGCTGTTCTATGTATGCTGTTTCTATTTTTTGCCGGGCATCCTGTCATGGGATGGATTTGTCCAATGGTATTTATTTTAACGCATGAATCGGACTGAGAGGATGACATTAGTGCTTTGCAGTAAATAACAGCGAATACAGTGATAGCAGGTATACATAGGGTGATCGTCCAAATTCGATCTTTTGACTAGTCTATAACACCAAGATGATCTTCCTTGATCGTTCCGATGGCAAACTTACTTTGTGTTAATAGTTGTAGTCGGACTAAAATTAAAAGACTCACGATTTCAGTAGCGTCAACGCGCGTTCCAACAATTTTTAGTCGTACACGAGTGTTCTTCTCGATGATCTGTTCGAGGCAAGGTAGGGATACTAGGGGGACGACACATGAATGGACGATACCTGGTCCTCTGATGCAAAGGATGGTGGATTCGAGGTCGGATCAAATTTCATGTCTGGATGTATCAGCTAGGAATGGCGCGAGATGTTGAGCGAGGCAGAAGGAAATAGTATTCCAACTCACTTGGTGAGATACAAAAACTGTTAACGGCCCGACGTCAGCAAAGAAGCCCATCTACACACTATTCAGTACGGTGCAATGAGACATAACAGGGTATGGCGCACCTTGTTGACGTTATTTACAACCCCATCGACCACTTCTCCTTTGAATGGCTTGAAGACTATTGCACGGTAGCGGGTGATGAATTCGGCCTGGCCACTTCCGCTCAGTACCATGCCTTTTCCGATATCCAGGATAGAGACGACAGCAATGATGTACCCGAATGCGCCTGAACATGTTCCCTCTACGTCTGAGTAAAGTTTTGACTCGAGGAACTGGAGCATCCGAGGGCCAAAGTATGACGGATGGAGGAGAATCGTGTGCGTCAATTCTTTCTGAGCATTGAAGTTTGGTTATGACGGGATTGAATGGTGATAGAGCTCTCGGAGAGAGGTACTCACAATGAAGAACATGTTGGCTCGGTTAACACACGGGGGATCGTATTGATAGATCACAGAGCGCAAGTTGTTCCTCCCCTTGCGGTAGATGACGTAATACAGCCGCTATCACCGCTGGACGACAAGTATGAACTTTGCGATATGACTCTGGGAACTAGGATATTGTTGATGCAAACATTGCTACTTAAGACCTACTGACATTGCAAGTACGGTACTACCATGGTTTGACGATAATAAGCACTTACTCGTGCTCACTTCACTCACGCGCCGATTCGGTTCTAAATAAATAATTATGCCAGACGACCGTAACACTGGGAGTTCAAGAAACTTGCTATGAATAATTTTACCACAGGTATTGGGTGAAATCATCGTCGTAAACAGCGCACGACGGAATAAAGTAACAGTGTGATGCAGGTCAGGGCTCGCAGGATAGGCGCAAAACAGCGAAAAGCCTCATTTTTTCTCTGAAGACCTCCTCCCGGAGGGGGTCTGCACCTCCCCCGCATCTATCTCCCGAAGACTCCCAACTTCGGTTGGCGGGAGGATGTATCAATAGTGGTAGTCCATTGTGCGACGGCATCCTTCATCGCCACGATCTCGCCATCATTGAAACTCATCTCTTTCAGCTTAGATACGACAGTATACCTGATAGTTTGCGCTCCAGTATATCCATTCATGTCAGCCAGCTTTCCCTGTATCTCTGGAGACAGTTCACACGCAGCGCAGAAGCCCGCTAGGGACAGGTCTGGTCCGAGCTTTGTGCAGCAGAAAGACGTGTAGTGTTCGCGTCACCAGATTGCTCTACAGGAGCGGCAGGTAACGAAGCGGATTATGCGAACACGCCGAGGGACGAACGATGATGCGTTCGCTCACTATTCGGATCAGTCCTAATGACTTGAACTCCACTGCCCGCATGCTGCCATGAACAAGGGATTTGTTGCCCTTGCAGACCGGCCGGTATGCTACAGGGCCAGATAATCATATTGACCGAAATCATTGGGTGAGTGCATACCTTCGAGGAAGTAGGGGTAGATGTGTATCCGGTTGAAAAATATCATATCAGAACAATGATCGACTCGGACACTGACTACCAAGTGTGACGCGCAAGTTATCCCGGGCAACCTTGTTTATCTGAACGTGACCTCTCTTAATGTCATCAGACTTGAAACAGATGAGAACGGTGTCACGATATTCGTGTCCCCTGCACTGTAAAAATAAGAAGCAGTAAAACGAGTCCGCTGTACGAACATCACGAGGCTCGGAGGATACGGTCACCGTGTTCTAAATGCAGACTCAGAGCCTTCACGGTGGCGCGACTGAACTTTGCCACTGTGTCAAAAGAAATTTAGATAGAATCGGCAGTGTTCGCGCCAGGTTTTCCTGAATTGTCATCTGTAGCAATCAGATGCCACTGGCCAGACGTGCTATCAAGCAGGGAGTCCTCGGATTTAAGTCTTTGGCCACAGGGTAATGGTAGAAGTATGAGGACTTGGTTTTGGAACACTGTGAGGGTCGGTCATAGCTCATCATGACGAGTCTGGCGTCGATGCTTGAAGGAGAGAGGTGGAGTTCAAGTGGTCCGCATAGTACACTGGCCTCGGCCCGTCACGCGTCACTCCTGTTGAGATAGACTAACTAGGTCTGCCGTCTCCTTGACGTGCGATTTGGGTCGTCCCTGTGGTTCGATAGCCTGCAAAAAGTATCTACGGACGCATAAAATCAAGTTGCCCAACGGTGCTGAGGACAACAACAAAAATATTGGCCAACGTGGGGATCGAACCCAAGACCTTCGCGTATCGAGTACGTCGGTAAGAGTGTGAAGCTGCCAACCACATTCTTACGAACGAATCGTATTAGCACGACGCTCTAACCAACTGAGCTAGTCGGCCTTGTTTCACGGGATGACAAAGATATTGAAGATGGTGAGACAACCTTTTTCGTTGCTAAGAATTATTATGTAATTATTGTTCGTATGTTATGTAATACTATGAGGTCCGCCCTGCCATAATGTACATGTGATGTGATCTTATCGCGCTGAATTACTGTTTCTATTCATTCAAGCTCTAGCTAGTAATTAGCCGCTAGTACTAGTGCAAGCTTGCGATGTCGGATAGGTTTTGATTCATTATGCTGTTGACGTCAATGAATATTTATATTGTGCAGATCTCTGGCAAGGTTACCATGTGGCAGTGCTCTAGCAATCGACGTGCCTTGTATCCTTATCGAGAAGTTCAAATTTGGTTTGGTTCAACTTGTTGTTTGACCAACCAACATCTTCAATTGCAACAGCAGCTTCAGATTCTCGATTTCAACATGGTCACCTATTCTGCTTTCTTTTCTTCTGGCCTTCTCGCGCCTTACCATGCAAGAGCAACAACTCCTGCACCACCTTCCTCGCCAATGCCGATGCAATCCAGTCCTATGCACCCTGTCGATCGCGATCTGAGCGTGACACCCACACCCAGTGGCAACTCAAATAACGTTGTTGCAGTACCCACTGCAAATCCTGACCGTCCTCGCATGCGCAAGCGTCGCAGTAGCATGAATATTGGTGCGAACCCGATGGCTCTTATCAAGTCCCCAACGCGGAATGCGGGCAGCGCGTTTCAACGCACCGGCGTCATGTCTCCCACCCGGAGTCGTGCAGGCAGCATCGCAGAGAACGCCTCAGAAACTAACAGTCTTTTTGAAAGACTAAGAAGTGGCAGTCTGAACGCAGGCGCTCCGCTACGGTAAGCGGCTCCATGCCTATAATTGGACGTCTTCTGATACCCTGTGCAGCCTGCGTCGTGCAGTCAAGCGAACTGTCCCAGTCGCTCCGCCCCCCACTGTCCCCCTCCCTGCACTCCCACCGCCATCTCCGTCTGCAAAATACACGCGTACTCTCGCGCCCCCTGCGCTCGTCATACCTATTCCCCGCCAGCCCCTCATGAATTATTTTGTGTCCAGTCCTAATACCTCTGGACTACTCAGTCCTGATTCTGTGATGCAGTTCTCATCCAATATGTCGCCTGGTATCTCCTCCAGCCCTGCTCATAAGTGTTATTTTGGAAGCACCATCGATGAAGAGATGAAAGAAAGCTGAACGCGCTTCGATCAGCGCCGCTTGTTTGGACACTGCGCCTGGTTGCGCACTTGCTCTCGTGCATCAATATCCCTGTTAGCTATTTACTGTTCTAGATTAATTACCTGCTGCATTTGTTACCAATATCCCACTCATAGCCATCCAGTGTTACGCCATATCTCTATGTCCCTCAGTCTCTGCATCTTTCAAGCTTTCCCGTTACTACTCTTGCTCTTTAAAATGGTTTTGCTTGCTCCCGACATTCCATCCATGTTTTGTATGCTGCTTTAGTATCTATGTTATTTTTCTGGGCATTTGACGTTGGTCGTGGGATGCACAACCGCGATTGAAAATGACGCGTCATTGTCACGTGGTCCAAGGAGTTAACTTGTTAAGAACCTGCGGGCATGGACCTACATTGGCCCGGGCGTACGAGAGTGCCAATGTGAGTGTGCATACCTGATAGTCTTATCAGAAACCTGCTAACTAAAATTTACATTATAAGTTAGACTTCACCTCCATCGGTCCACTCACAATAGCAAGTATAGGCTACCACGGTGGTGCGGTACGTGACTCGGACACTCACCAATTAAATCTACTAAAATTAGGAAATTACGACGGTATGCCATACTAGTACGAAGTTCCAGAATACTTTGTACATCCTTACCATTTCTCCCGACTTGCGACTAAAGCAGGTTTGACAAGGAATGTCTCTGATGAGTAATGTGATTCTTACCACGTATTTTTGAACGTTCAAGTTGATGCGACTAACGCGTCTATCAGTTAAGCGACAGAGCGCTTGGATCATTCGAGCAAGTCGCGGTGACATACGAGGAGTCTCGGAACTGATATCGATAGTGGCTTATCGCACGAGACAAATTCGGACGACGGCCAAAGCAGCTCCGTGTTTCATGGCCACTGTGTTGCTATGAGAGATACTGCGATTGACACGATGGATGCCTAGTATTTTGACTGAGCGTTGGTTTCCGAACTGTGGCGGAACTGAGCAAACCAATTCGTCGACTGATCTACCCACCAATCTGTATTTGGCACTGAAACCCGTTGACATGTACTCTGTCTCGGCTCGCACACTTCTGGTACTCCACATATAGTATCATGAATCATGACGCCCACACAAGTCAAAGAACAGATCTTAGATAGGTCCGTTTTACATACAGGTGTCACAATTGTTGTCGATGATCAGATATACGAAAATCATCTTCCTCGTATGTTGACATCTGATCATCATAACCCTGACTATCTCTACTACTCATCGCACGACTGACTTCCAGACAGAGGGAAAAGGTTTGAGGTGAGCGGTCTGTCATGTTCACAGAAGAGATCTACTGATACGAAACAATTATAAAACAACACACTGTGTAGCGAGAAAGTTCTGGTCGGTTGTACATCCTGCCTATAGAATGGCGCATTGATTTCGAGTTTCACATTTTTGTCAGTGACATTAAGCCACGGAAACTTAGGAGACTATATGGCCTAGCGCATTAATGTTTCACCCTGTGTATGGAAGCGCCATTCAAACCTTGCTATTATTCGAGTTGGTGACACATGGGACAGGTGAGTCTACACCCATTTTCTTTCAACCTGACTAGTGGAACCTCCTTTCCAAAAGTACACGATGGTCCGAGCCAACACGATATACCCGCTAGCAAGGATTGACATAAGTATAAAGACTGGCATAATCAGAGCCCTTAACACAAGTCTCTGATTCACTCATCTCAACGTTCACGACACGAGTCTAACAGCCTCCATGGCTTCTACTAAAACCTGCACAGTCACTTGTTCTGACTCCGAACCCACAGAGTTCATTATACCTGACTTCGTCGGCGAGTGCCGCTACCCCATGCGACTAAACCCTCACTGTGATCTGGTATCTCGCGCTTCTGAGGAATGGCTTTGTAGCGAAGCCCATCTAGTAGAGCCCGAGAGGACCAAATATACGAGCTTGCGCGCAGGTTACTTCGCTTCATCATGTTACCCTGATGCGGATGCTTTCCATCTCAAAGTCTGCGCGGACTTCCTGGGCTGGTCGTTCAAATTAGACGACTGGCTCGAGATCGAGAGGTCCGATGTTAATGATGCGTGGGGAGTACGTGACTGCTGCCTGTCTGCGTACCGCGATCCCGTCAACTTCCAGACGAAAAGATATAGTGCAAAGATGTGCAAATCGTGCGTCTAATTTCTACCATCACGCTCACATTCTAACCGTCTTTTAGATACTTCGGTCGCTTTAAGGAAACTGGCGGCCCTGGCTGCACAGAGCGCTTTATCCACGCAATGGACTTGTGGTTCATCTCTGCGGCAAAGGAGGTGGACAACCGCGCCAAGGGACATGTCGATGACGTTGAATCTTACATTGAATTGAGACGCGACTTGAGTGGCTGCAAGTCTTGCTTTGCCCTTATCGAATTCGTCAATCGGATTGATCTTCCCGACGAAGTAGTCTCGCATCCGGTCATCATGGCCCTGGAGGAGGCTACCAATGACTTTGTTTCTTGGTCAAACGTAATACCCCATTCTGCCATCGAATGGGGGCCACTACTGACATCGCTGTTGACAGGATATTTACTCCTATAACATGGAGCAATCTCACCATAGCACACATAATTTAGTTGTTGTGCTCATGATTGATCAAGGTCTCAGCCTGCAAGATGCTGTTGACTACTCCGCCCGGCTATGCAATATCTCCCTCCAACGCTTTGAAGAAAACCGTGCTATCATCCCCTCGTGGGGAGAAGAAGTCGACAAGCAGGTGGCTCTCTACATCCAGGGACTGCAGAACTGGATTGCCGGTCCGCTGCAATGGACCTTCGTGACCAACCGCTATTTCGGGAAGGATGCCAATATTGTCAAGCAGGACAGAACCGTCAAGCTAATTCCCAAGCGTCCCTTGTGAAATTTACAACTATTCCTCTATGTGAGACTATTTTCACTTCTTTCCTGCATTGTATGATTCTCATTGCGATGATTGCCATCATAGAAAGCTACATCATTATCTATATCTTGCTATGGGTGAATCTACGTTTTTGACCGCATGATGTTTCGCCTTCCTTGCTCAGAACGTTTCTAACTTTCGCTGTTGTGTGTAATAGTACCAGTCTCCCCTACTATAGTGGAAGGAACACAGTCATTTCTACATAGAATTGTACATGTACCTTACATTCGGAGTGCAAACATTCATTTTAGGTGAATATGTGCATGGGCGTGCAGGTGCCAGAAGCAGACTCAAACCACGAGAAAAGTACGGTGCAAGAATGACTTCATGAAGTTGATAGAAGCTACCCACTACTCTAGCTAGCATGATTCATCAGTAACGTTTCACACAAACATCTAAACAGATCCTGATCATTGAATATATTCGATCCGGGATGTATGTTAGCATAAAGTGAATGTTCTTATAGCAAATCAAGGACAGTGGGTTCATCTCGAACGCCAGATTCCTCTGGCGCACTTCCATTCTCTCGTTCCTGACACCAGCAAGTGCACACCGCCAACGACGCCTCAGCATCCCCTGGCTAAGACCGTGCAGATCCTAGCGAGTACCGCAATTTTCTTCTTTCTGGTAGAGGAAAGATGGCATGTACAGGATCACGAGAACTCCTCCAGTTAGAATGGAAACCAAAAGGACCTGCATAGTGTATCGGATATTGACATAGTTGGAATCGGTTGGATGACTTTGATCAAAGATGATCGCAGTGAGCCCATCATGCATCATGGTTTGTAAAACATCGAAGTTCGAGCCACTACAATCGTAGACAAGATGAATGTCCAGATGACTTGAACCAAAGATGCATCATAACCGTGGCA